CGCATGTAAGAATACAGAACTTCAATAAAAACAACCCCACTCAGGCTCGTCATCCGGGTATTTTGGATGCGCCCACTAGCGGAATTCCGTAGAAAACTAACAACTCGAAAATTAGGAATTACTGAAGAATAGCAGACAGGGTTATGAAACAAATAAACCTTTTATTACTGATGTGAAATGTTTACAAACTATTGTGAATACATAAACATATCCAAATGGCGATACATAAAAAACAGACTGAAAATAAACTCTGGTCGACCTCATTAACATGATTTATTCACGCACCCACACACATGACAAAATTACAAAAATAACGGTAAAGGATTTTCGAAAATGTAAATGATTGAGCGGAGACTTGTAAATAAACATGAATTTAAATGATAATGGTTTACGGTAGTGTCTATAAGTTTCTTGCATTAATTATAGCTGCCGGAAGAAACTACTCAAATCCTTGCCTGAACGTTCGTTGCCATCCTCATCGATGTTGAATCCCTCGAAGTCCAAATCATCATCATTTACGATGTGATGTCTCAAAAGTGCTAGCTCCCGTTATGGATTCATAGTCAGCGAAGTGCTACGTTTTGAAACCAAGACGAAGTGCTTCAAACCACTCACCAAGGTATGGATTATTGCAATATTGGATTCAACGTGAATGAAGAGAAAGCAGAACGTGTGCGCCACATGCTGCGTGGTTCATCTTACGTCGTTAAGTTCCAATGAGTTTTTACGTAAAAACACAAACAAAACGGCCCTTTTCAGGGTCACCACACACTCCAAAAAGAGAAATACTGTAACAAACACACTATTTAAATAAATTAAACGCGTTCGTTTTTGACAAATAAAACTTTATTGTTGACCCCGTTGTTGGCTAAAAATCACCCTGGGCATTTAACCAAGGATGTCCCCAACATGTAACTTTTGTGAAAACAGGGGGGTGGGCGCTTGCCCAGGGAGGGGCACGTGCCCGGGGTGATACAATATGTACCAGTTATACCAGTTATACCAGTTATAGTACATTTGTTGATCTTGAACTTGATGTCATGTTGATGACAAAAGGTCACAGGTCACTAAAGTAAAGTTTGGCTTGCGCCAACGACCCAATAACGTTCACACAATCGGAGTCATAATCGAGTCGAACATTGGTTTCTTGAGTCAAATGTGTCCAGACCAAAATATCATGACTGGAACAATTCAGCTTGGGCCGAACAGGCGAGTCTGAACACAACATTTGAAAAATAACAGCACACAGGTAGTTGACAACAAAATTGTAGCAAGCAAAAGAGAACGTCTTGTGACCCCCCCTCCCCAAGTCCTTTTTATTTCCACCAATTATTGTTTCGTTCTAGTGTCCAGATCGTTTTTCGTTCAACAGTTCAAAACAAACCATATGCAAAATCAATGCACAATTAATATTAGTTGGATGATTTAAGACACCATTCCGATGATGCAATCTACATCATTGTTGAGATTTGCTACTTAATACACAATAACACAAGGAGAAACAACACAATGAGGTCTGCCACACTTCTGACATAACAAATCTGCATTCCAAAGAAAAGAGGGTGCTTTTGACTGGACTAAATAATGTTTTGGCTGTGAGAATTTTAATCCTGTATATTCAACAAACAAACAAACAAATTTTGGTTGCCTTAGGCATGCTAAATGTGAAATGAGCTATTTATTGTCAATGCCCTGTGTATAGTCGAAAGCAAGGCAAAGGGTAACTCACAGCTCAGCTTGACTGGCAGTCCACCAACAAACCGGAAGTCACTTTATTTATTATTTATTCATGTGCAATTAAACAGGTGATTTTAAGGATTTCACCAGTCATGGTAACTGAGAAGACTACATGTACAGCATGTTTATGTGTGTACAATGCTCATACCATGCTGGCTAATAGCTTCCACCTTTGGTTTATATATGTTTATACCATGCTGGCTAATAGCTTCCACCCCTGGGATATATATGTTTATACCATGCTGGCTAATAGCTTCCACCCCTAGTTTATATATGTTTATACTATGCTGGCTAATAGTTTCCACCCTTAGTTTATATATGTTTATACCATGCTGGCTAATAGCTTCCACCTTTGGTTTATATATGTTTATACCATGCTGGCTAATAGCTTCCACCCCTGGGATATATATGTTTATACCATGCTGGCTAATAGCTTCCACCCCTGGTTTATATATGTTTATACCATGCTGGCTAATAGTTTCCACCTCTGGTTTATATATGTTTATACCATGCTGGCTAATAGTTTCCACCCATGGTTTATATATGTTTATACCATGCTGGCAAATAGCTTCCACCCCTGGTTTATATATGTTTATACCATGCTGGCTAATAGTTTCCACCCCTCGTTTATATATGTTTATTCCTTGCTGGCAAATAGCTTCCACCCTTGGTTTATATATGTTTATACCATGCTGGCTAATAGCTTCCACCCCTGGTTTATATATGTTTATACCATGCTGGCTAATAGCTTCCACCCCTGGTTTATATATGTTTATACCATGCTGGCTAATAGCTTCCATCCCTGGGATATATATGTTTATACTATGCTGGCTAATAGCTTCCACCCCTGGGATATATATGTTTAAACCATGCTGGCTAATAGTTTCCACCCTTAGTTTATATATGTTTATACCATGCTGGCTAATAGCTTCCACCCCTAGTTTATATATGTTTATACCATGCTGGCTAATAGCTTCCACCCCTAGTTTATATATGTTTATACCATGCTGGCTAATAGCTTCCACCCCTAGTTTATATATGTTTATACCATGCTGGCTAATAGCTTCCACCCTTGGTTTATATATGTTTATACTATGCTGGCTAATAGCTTCCATCCCTAGTTTATATATGTTTATACCATGCTGGCTAATACATGTAGTTTCCACCCCTAGTTTATATATGTTTATACCATGCTGGCTAATAGCTTCCATCACTAGTTTATATATGTTTATACCATGCTGGTTAATAGCTTCCACCCCTAGTTTATATATGTTTATACCATGCTGGCTAATAGCTTCCACCCCTAGTTTACATATGTTTATACCATGCTGGCTATTAATTTCCACCCCTCGTTTATATATGTTTATACCATGCTGGCTAATAGCTTCCACCCTTGGTTTATATATGTTTATACTATGCTGGCTAATAGCTTCCATCCCTGGGATATATATGTTCATACCATGCTGGCTAATAGCTTCCATCCCTGGGATATATATGTTTATACTATGCTGGCTAATAGCTTCCACCCCTGGGATATATATGTTTATACCATGTTGGCTAATAGTTTCCACCCCTAGTTTATATATGTTTATACCATGCTGGCTAATAGCTTCCACCCCTAGTTTATATATGTTTATACCATGCTGGCTCATAGCTTCCACCCCTAGTTTATATATGTTTATACCATGCTGGCTAATAGTTTCCACCCCTAGTTTATATATGTTCTACCATGCTGGCTAATAGCTTCCACCCCTAGTTTATATATGTTTATACCATGCTGGCAAATAGCTTCGACCCTTGGTTTATATATGTTTATACCATGCTGGCTAATAGCTTCCACCCCTGGTTTATATATGTTTATACCATGCTGGCTAATAGTTTCCACCCCTAGTTTATATTATGTTTATACCATGCTGGCTAATACATGTAGTTTCCACCCCTGGTTTATATATGTTTATACCATGCTGGCTAATAGTTTCCACCCTTGGTTTATATATGTTTATACCATGCTGGCTAATAGCTTCCACCCTTAGTTTATATAAGTTTATACCATGCTGGCTAATAGTTTCCACCCCTAGTTTATATTATGTTTATACCATGCTGGCTAATACATGTAGTTTCCACCCCTGGTTTATATATGTTTATACCATGCTGGCTAATAGTTTCCACCCTTGGTTTATATATGTTTATACCATGCTGGCTAATAGCTTCCACCCTTAGTTTATATAAGCTTATACCATGCTGGCTAATAGTTTCCACCCCTAGTTTATATTATGTTCATACCATGCTGGCTAATACATGTAGTTTCCACCCCTGGTTTATATATGTTTATACCATGCTGGCTAATAGTTTCCACCCTTGGTTTATATATGTTTATACCATGCTGGCTAATAGCTTCCACCCTTAGTTTATATAAGTTTATACCATGCTGGCTAATAGTTTCCACCCTTGGTTTATACCATGCTGGCTAATAGTTTCCACCCCTGGTTTATATATGTTTATACCATGCTGGCAAATACCTTCCACCCTTAGTTTATATAAGTTTATACCATGCTGGCTAATAGTTTCCACCCCTGGTTTATATATGTTTATACCATGCTGGCTAATAGTTTCCACCCTTGGTTTATATATGTTTATACCATGCTGGCTAATAGTTTCCACCCCTGGTTTATATATGTTTATACCATGCTGGCTAATAGTTTCCACCCTTGGTTTATACCATGCTGGCTAATAGTTTCCACCCCTGGTTTATATATGTTTATACCATGCTGGCTAATAGTTTCCACCCTTGGTTTATATATGTTTATACCATGCTGGCTAATAGCTTCCACCCTTAGTTTATATAAGTTTATACCATGCTGGCTAATAGTTTCCACCCTTGGTTTATACCATGCTGGCTAATAGTTTCCACCCCTGGTTTATATATGTTTATACCATGCTGGCTAATACATGTAGTTTCCACCCCTAGTTTATATATGTTTATACCATGCTGGCTAATAGCTTCCATCACTAGTTTATATATGTTTATACCATGCTGGTTAATAGCTTCCACCCCTGGTTTATATATGTTTAAACCATGCTGGCTAATAGTTTCCACCCCTAGTTTATATATGTTTATACCATGCTGGCTAATAGCTTCCACCCCTGGTTTATATATGTTTATACCATGCTGGCTAATAGCTTCCACCTCTGGTTTATATATGTTTATACCATGCTGGCTATTAGTTTCCACCTCTGGTTTATATATGTTTATACCATGCTGGCTAATAGCTTCCACCCATGGTTTATATATGTTTATACCATGCTGGCAAATAGCTTCCACCCTTGGTTTATATATGTTTATACCATGCTGGCTAATAGTTTCCACCCATGGTTTATATATGTTTATACCATGCTGGCAAATAGCTTCCACCCTTGGTTTATATATGTTTATACCATGCTGGCTAATAGTTTCCACCGCTGGTTTATATATGTTTATACCATGCTGGCTAATAGTTTCCACCCATGGTTTATATATGTTTATACCATGCTGGCTAATAGTTTCCACCCCTGGTTTATATATGTTTATACCATGCTGGCTAATAGTTTCCACCCCTGGTTTATATATGTTTATACCATGCTGGCAAATAGCTTCCACCCTTGGTTTATATATGTTTATACCATGCTGGCTAATAGTTTCCACCCCTGGTTTATATATGTTTATACCATGCTGGCTAATAGTTTCCACCCATGGTTTATATATGTTTATACCATGCTGGCTAATAGTTTCCACCCCTGGTTTATATATGTTTATACCATGCTGGTTAATAGTTTCCACCCATGGTTTATATATGTTTATACCATGCTGGCAAATAGCTTCCACCCCTGGTTTATATATGTTTATACCATGCTGGCAAATAGCTTCCACCCCTGGTTTATTTATGTTTATACCATGCTGGCAAATAGCTTCCACCCCTGGTTTATATATGTTTATACTATGCTGGCTAATAGTTTCCACCCTTGGTTTATATACGTTTATACCATGCTGGCTAATAGCTTCCACCCCTGGTTTATATATGTTTATACCATGCTGGCTAATAGCTTCCACCCCTGGTTTATATATGTTTATACCATGCTGGCAAATAGCTTCCACCCCTGGTTTATATATGTTTATACTATGCTGGCTAATAGTTTCCACCCTTGGTTTATATATGTTTATACCATGCTGGCTAATAGCTTCCACCCCTGGTTTATATATGTTTATACCATGCTGGCTAATAGCTTCCACCCCTGGTTTATATATGTTTATACCATGCTGGCAAATAGCTTCCACCCCTGGTTTATATATGTTTATACTATGCTGGCTAATAGTTTCCACCCTTGGTTTATATATGTTTATACCATGCTGGCTAATAGCTTCCACCCCTGGTTTATATATGTTTATACCATGCTGGCTAATAGCTTCCACCCCTAGTTTATATATGTTTATACTATGCTGGCTAATAGTTTCCACCCCTGGTTTATATATGTTTATACCATGCTGGCTAATAACTTCCACCCTTAGTTTATATATGTTTATACCATGCTGGCTAATAGCTTCCACCCCTAGTTTATATATTTTATACCATGCTGGCTAATAGCTTCCACATTTGGTTTATATATGTTTATACCATGCTGGCTAATAGTTTCCACCCCTAGTTTATATATGTTTATACCATGCTGGCTAATAGTTTCCACCCCTAGTTTATATATGTTTATACCATGCTGGCTAATAGCTTTCACCCCTGGTTTATATAT